GAGAGAGAGAGAGAGAGAGAGAGAGAGAGAGAGAGAGAGAGAGAGCACAGAGCCCTTTCACATTATTCAGACAACCCCTGCCGGTACTTCAAAAGTTCCCTGCCAAAAAATTGTCAAGGGTCCCTTCGGCAGGAACGGGTTGGTCATTGGAAGGGTCGTCACTGGACTCGTAGTAAGGAGGGAGTAGGCCAGGTACATATGGTGTCGCTTCGATTTCAGGTCCGTGTTTCATCAGTTATGGGTTACTGATTTACTAACTCGGCATGTGATTTCGTGGGCTTCACTCCACTACTCACCAAATGTGCAAAACTAGAATGAATCTTCTCCTAGAAACTGGATCCATACAGGCCATACGTTTTTCTTTTCTGCAAGTGCTGATGAATGGAGCCAGGCCCTTAGGGCCACTGCACGAAAGTAAGAAAAGGAAAAGAAAATAACGAGACAGCTACTGTATGTGCAAAACTAGAATGAATCTTCTCCTAGCAACTGGAACCATACAAGCCATCCGTTTTTCTTTTCTGCAAGTGCTGATGAGTGGAGTGAGGCCCTTAGGGCCACTGCACGTAAGAAAAGGGGAAAAAAAAAAAACGAGACAACTACTGGAGTGTTTGTGGCAACCCATAACTCTTGGAACACAGACCTGAATTCGAATCCGGGATATATTGCTGGCCTACTCGTGGTCTTCCAGCAGTCCAATGCACATCCTTCTGAAGGTTATGGAAACCCTGCTAATTGCTTGCAGGGTACTTTTTGGAAAGGAGAATCAAACCAATGAGCAGTACGACGAGGCCCCAAAATATTCTCTTTCTGTGTACTTACCCTTTTTAAAAGGGAGGCACACTTACGGGTCCGACGACCTACCCTTTCTGATTTTTATTTTTTATTTTTTTTTCTGAATCCGCCGCATCACGTGTGCGCATGTGCGCTGCGGCGCACGTGCGCAACTTGCACGCACGTGATGCGCCGCAACTAAGAGTCCGGCCCATTAGCGAGAACATGCCCTCCCCTGCTGTTACATGCTGCGCCTGCAAACGAGGGCCATTTTCAGGCCCTGTGTCGGTTCAGCCTGAAAGCCTGAAAACAAGGGCCTACAGGCCCTGTGTAGTTTCAGCCTGAAAGCCTGAAAAAATAAGGGCCTACAGGCCCTGTGTCGTTTCAGCCTAAAAAAGGGCCCTCCAGGCCCTAAGTCTTTTCAGCCTGAAACAGAGGGTCATTTTCAGGCCCTCATAAGATCGACCTGCCCTGAAACTTAGGCACCAGACCAGGGTTTTAGCACAGGCTATTTTGGGCCTGTTTTCAAGACAACCTTTGTTGAACTTCAACACCAGGGTCTGGCACGTTTTGGCATTGGCAAGAGCAGCCTCCTGAACGGGCCAACACTATATAAAACTGGCCCGCCCTGCAGGCTGCAGGTAGTTCATAGGGGATTCCCCAGACAGTTCAGTAGGCAGGAGGTAGTCTTCAGGATTCGGCAGCAGCACTCTGGAGGAGCACTGCAGTAATAGTAGTAGCGTTAGCAGTAGTCTTCAGCGCTGGGCGCTAGTAGGAGCTAGAGTAGCACTGGAGAGAGAGAGATTTGGCGGAGGCCAGGGAGACTTACCTGCAGCGCAATAGCTCCAGCTTCGTCTTCGAGGTACCTGCAGCACGGTGCCATCTTCAGAGGTTAGTACCTGGCACATGAAACACACACACACACACACACACACACACACA